CGAATCTAATGGTGATATCTTTGTTCGAATGGAATCACTGGATGTTGAGATATCGGGTTCTAAAGTGACAGATTCATTTTTGAAATTTCCGGTAATATACTGTAGGGGTGTGTATATAAATAATCCGGAGAATAAAGATCCTATGAAGACGTCGGATGAAGTTTCTAAATATTTAACTAAAACTTTTAACCCAGATCAAATTCACATTCTTATTAAGCCAGGGAATTAGATTTTTTGTATCTCACATCATATATTAGCGATATGTATTTAGTAAAATAAAGTAATTGTGCGTCATACATCTATCTCCTGATCAGTTCGTGTAACTTCCATCATATGTATATAAATCACTGATTATCCAAAAATAGATATGATAAAAATTTTCAACCAGATTTTGCAAATTTTCACATATAAAAGTAAAACCATGTCTTCACACGCTTCTTCACCTTCATCCCCAGTTTCTACATCCTCTACTTTGACGGAAGAAAGTTCAACTCGCACGATGGCGGACGTGATAAGAAAATATAAGACGGAAGAACTCATCGACTATTTGCGGAGACAGGAAGACTTAGACCTCAAAGAGTCGCATTTCAAGATTTTACGAAGAGATTTTTGGTTTTGCCTTTCTTGAGTTAACAGAAGAAAAGTTTCGTAGTATTGGGTTGGCATTGGGACCAGCAACTGCACTGGCAAAATTAATCGAGAATCTTGTTGAACAGAAAATACGAAGCTTCTCTTCCTACAAAACTCTGGAAGAACTGAAGGACGTACTCCGCAAATATAAAGTCAATGGGGAGGATATAACGAGCATCAAGCAATTCAATCAGGGTATGTGGTATTTTTTCTTGGCAAAATTTACGATCAAAATTCCAGATATGTAATAATTTGTTTTTTCTGGTATATAGTTTTTGAGGAAATCGATAACGACGACAAAGCACTCGAACAGTGCATGAATGAAATAACACTAAGACTTTCGAATCTGGAGACGATGCAGACTAACGCCAATGAAGCCACGCGTTGCGTATTTATTACATCGATATTAAACGCGTCTCTGGCCATCGTTCGAAGACTTACCAAAAAATCTATATATCATACCAGAAAAGTGTTTCCGCTGAGGAGGCATCTGGACGTGTCGACTATGCCATCAAAGGAAACGAAGATCTTATGTGCATAGCTGAGGGAAAACCTCGTAATGTTGAAATCGGTTACCTCCAAAACATCATGCAACTTGAGAGTGCGTACCATACAAATAAAAAGAAATGTACCGCAGATGAAGCTTTCAAGGATGATGATTACGATTATCTTTATGGGATAGTTTCTACAGGTATATATGTGAATTTTTCAGAATAATTTTTGGCAGGGGCCCCCGGCTGAAATTTCGGATTTTTTTCACTAATCATTACTTAATAATTTTAGCCACGGAATGGCATTTTAGCGTTTTCGCTACGGATGGTATTTATTGTACCAGTAAAAGTGAATATCAAATAAATCTCTCCAAAACAGCCCTTAAAGAAGATCTTGACTCTATCCGAAAAGGTATAAAGCAAGTGTTGGGTGTCATCGTGGGTTTATTAAAAGATCGAATTAGTGTTGATAATTCCCCAGCCAGTAAGAAGGCTAGGATCAAAAAATTCACAAAGTAATGGTTAGAATTTTCATTCACATGTACACGGTAATGGCCGTGCTATTTTTATTTGTACCAGGCCCTTAGGGGCTACTCTTCGAGTAATAAAGCCGACCAAGAAGGTCATTTTTCTTATATTAAGGGTAGTAAGAGTATTTTCAGCCTGCTGGCACAAGGTGCCATTTTGGATCGCTCGGTCCGAGATGTGCAAATTTGGAAAATCATATTTCTTTAAGGTATTGTACTCTTCAACTCCTGAAAATGCTATGATTATCTGGCGATTAATTTGTGATTCTTTGGCGTGTGCCAGTACATCCGGTGCTGATACAGTCCAATGTGTTATAAAAACAAGCAGGGTATGTGGGCCTATTATCTGATCATATCTTCGTCATTACCTTACAGACACAATCTATGTCTCTCTCCAACCTTCGAACCTTCGCATATACTATCCTAAAAAACCTTAATGATGAGGCCGTCAATGATCATGTACAGAATGTGAAAATGAAATTATTGCGCTTATCTACGAACCATTCACAATCCTCATATGTGGACATATCTTCCATAGAAAGTATCGAGAAAAATTTTTTACTTACACAATCGAATGTATGTCCTATTTCTGGTTGCAATAGCTCTGTTGAGCCCGTGGTTTCTGAACAAAGAAATTCCCAATCGAGTGGAACTTCGGATCTAGCTGATAGGTTGGGTGATGATCTTAAAATGAATACTCCAAGAATTACAAATGATCCAATGAATATATCACCATTATTGGGCGGAGGTAATCGCGACATTGATCCAATATTATTCGAGAGTGGGGTGCAGAAAAAACGAATTATGGAGTGGACCGATAATCACCCAATAAAAAAAAGAAATCCGCAAATAGAGAAGATTCTCCCATATTGAAAAGACTTATTCAGGAACTTTCAACTGATGGTCCCGAGGATACAGTAGCTTTACAAACTGAATCAGCCTCCGAGACCAATACAACATCAGTTAACTTTCTAAATTTATATCAAAAAATCGTAGATGCTGAAGGTATTAATAAAAAAACATCCCAAGACGTAATACGTCACTATTTTCATTTCGGAAAAGCAATTGATGAACGATGCAATCACTACAGGAAAGGATATCCAAAGCGTACATCTGAGGGGAAGGTTGGTGATGATATTAGAAAACAGATTCCAAATTCGATTAGTGAAAGCTTACTTCGAAAGACAAAAGAGAGGGCCCTGAAGATTTACGATATCTTTAATGAGATCGGGATCGATAATTAAGACTTTCACGGCCACAACACTAACTAAATTATCTCAGGATGATATCAATTATGTGTTGGCAAAGGTTTCGGTATGAGGCATTGCTCTATCGATATTATACTGCGCCACATAGTCATGTGATGTGATACAGGATCACAATCTATGTAATAAAATTTAACCGTCTATAAGTTTTTAGCACTGTTTTATACTTGTCGCATTGGGCTTATTTCTTTTAACGTGTAACTGTGCATCGGAAAAATAAAAAAAAATGGTTACGTACTGTATATGCCGATTTCGCATACATAATAGCGTTCACTTTTGGAATTTTTATTACATTTTTGAATAAAAACGTAAGTTATATAAAGCACCTATCGGATCAATCATGTTTTGTTTTAAAGACCATTCTATATGTTACTAACAACTATACTAAATTACACCTTTTGTGTTTCTAAAACGATTTGCTGAATTTCATATAAATCGATGACAAAATTAGGGATGGTGATTGCACCAGGGACTGCTATGGTGTACCCAACAACATTCGGGGTGCTGATGTTTGTAGTGGGGTTTGTAACTATAGGGGGATTCCAAAAAACATCTGCAACTGAGATAGTCACTTGGTAAGCAGGGATTCCCGGACCGGCACAAGTGGTAGGGGTAGTAGTATCATAATGTAAAGTTCCAAAATCCCACTACAGTATCACATTGCCAAAGTTACACTTTAAGCATCTGACACTTGATTATAAAAAAAAATACTAACAATAGATAAATCATACTTACAATTCTTACAGATACTCCTGGTAGATTTGGATTTGTTACTGCTGTAAACCCTGCTGGTACTGGATTTTGACGCGTCCATAACTTAGCCTAATATTTAAAAAACTCTTAGAAATGAAACTATAGAAAAATAAACAGGTAGCTAGACATACCAACATCGATCGATTAACACGTCCTTGATGACTCCTAATAATATCAAGTTTGACACCAAATACGTATCGAACATATTGTTCACACATCCACGTCTCACATCTTGTATTCCAATAATCAATGTCCTGAGTGTTAGCTATTTCAACAATGATTCTCGCGTGAGAAAAACCCTATGTAATAATATTATTGATATTAGAAAGTGACTCAAAAATAAATAACATGATAATATATACAAACTCAAAGTACATTTACGTCACTGGGGGGAGGACCAGGATGCTGAACATTAGGTCGTGCAACATGAGCAGAACTTGGATAAATCGCGACGTCTGGTGCCATCTTTTCCCCATGGCCGATTGGATTATAATGGTCTATAGAAAAAAAATATGAATTGTTATTGCAAGCTAAAGATCAAGCAGATCTCTTACATGGTTGACCGGTAATCATTATCGGACCACGTAATATACCATTGTTCGGAATATCAAAGTATTTCACCAACAACATAGTAACTGCTTCATGCTCCGTGTTAGCCATTTCAATAATATATACGTTTTTGTTTTCCCAATAAAATTTGTATCCGGTCGATTCGTTGCGGTCAAGAAAAGTATTATACTCTTTCACCGAAACGTTCTTTCCAATCTGAAATGGCAAACTGCAGACCATGCGAGTCAACAATATTGAGCAGATCTTAAAGAAACCTATGTGGGGCACACTCACTTTTCTTCTCCTAAAGGAAATTTTGGTAACTTGGGATAGTTATGGACTATTTTATCAACTTTATTTCCAATTTTCTTTACTTTCTTTACTGTTGATTTCCAACTAGAGCTTGAAGAAGTTGAGGCCATTTTGAAGAGGGTTTCGTGCAAAAAATGTACAGTATATAAAAAATTGACTAATGATCACGAATTTTTTTATCGTCCCAATCAAATATTCAATTACGTAATCCGGAATTACTAAAGTACCCTAGCCATGGCGAAAAAAAAGTTACGGGTCATGTGATTCCGAGCTATCCGAACTAATCAGATTTTTCCA